GCAGGATCACAGGCAACAGCCCGGTATTAGAAATCTTGTGAGAGTGAATGAAGTAAATGAGGTAAAAAGCACCTCTTCCGCAGGCATCGCGGTGAAGCCGAATGAAGTAATGAATGAGCTCGCTCAGCCTGCCTGCTGCACAGTAAGTCACTGTTAGCTGCTGCTGCTGTCACTGCTGCCATTAATGCAATTACATTTTTAAAGGTACTTTTTGGATTGTGATTATTTGCATCGTCGGCTGATTCCATACACAATATTCACTATGCCCACGCAATGTTGCATCGGAAACCGGATTGCTGTTCTGTGACAGCTGACGGGGAGATGGGGTGGCGGAACAAATGAGCGTTGTCTTTTCTCTTTCCTCTAATGAATTAAAATGAAATGGATCTGTACGAGCTCACCACTCCGTATGTGTGACTCAGGTAACATCATTAACAAGACTAGTTTTCCCAACTCACCGTGAGAAGGCACACGCGCGGGTGGCCCCCGCGTTTCTGACTTTGCCGTGATGGTGGAGAGGGACTTCTATGGTTGGAGAGACACTGAGTTCTGCTGAAGCATTTGATTTTAAAGAAAGTGACATCGAGCCTATTGAGATACAAGGTCAGCCCCAGAGAGGGTGGGAGTCAGGTACACTTTGAAAGAAAAAAGAATGAAGCTTGAAAAAAGTTTCGTTTTGTTTAGTTTTTTTACAGCTAAAGAAATTTCTAGTTATCGTTTAGTTCAAACGTACTGCCTTGTTTTTACTTTGCTTTAAGCATTTGTTATTTTGAGCATTGCATTTTAGACGCCGAAATGGCGGAGTGGGGAACTTTTGAGAAGCACTAGAAGAAAAAGAAGAAAGAGGAACCTCCAGGCCAGGCGGCCTTTATCTCTCCGCTCCCGGCAGCGTGGAGAATGGGACATTTGCTCTTCATTATTTAAGGAGCTTTTTAAAAGTCACGTAGGAAAGAAAGCAGTCGAAGGATCTTTTGATGCCTTTTGGTTTTGGCCAAGAAAATGGAATTACTGAGAAAAATCCAACCTTTAATAAAATACTGCTGTTAGAAGGACTTTTCAGTGGGTTCAAAACTATAAAATCATGGTCGGGTAACACAGACCGGGGGAGAAAAAAAAACCAACCAATTATTGGACAGGAACAGGGCGAGGGGGTTTGCGCACAGACTTGTATCTCAGCGTTAGAACGTGGCGACGAAGGCTTAGCTCGATGGGGTCACTTCTGCTATCTTAGGTGACCAGATGATGTGCTAAGGCCAAAGCAAGTTACTCTCTCTCCCCGAGGATTTTGGAAACAGACTAAGCGCCCAGTTCTCAGGCTGCCTTACTTTAATCCTGACCCTTTTATGAAACGCAGGTCAACTTGCTTCCTGTAATTTTTTGTAAACCTATCAATGGTTGCAGATGTCTGTGCACAAGCCTTGCCCTGGCTGCTTTTCTGAATTCTGATTACTGAGCAAACGTAGAAGAGCCAGGAGCGGCAGAATTATGCAGTCACTGCACAGGTTCGATTTATAGATGTCTGATTTTCTTCATTCCTATCTTCTTGCAAAGTCAGGGTCATCAGGGTGACGAAGGGCACTTCTTAAACACCGGACAACATGGTGGAGGTGAAGATCTGTTGTAAAATCTGAGGGATGTCCTTGGTATCCATGGCAACAAAAGACCGGCCGGCTGGTAAAGTTCTCTGAAGGCTGCCAGGACGGAAAGGCAAAGAAAATTAACATTGCAAATTGGGGCTCCCCTTCCACTCCCGCCCCCAGAAACCACAGCATCCAAATGGTTTCTTAGGAAAGGGAGGTTTTTGCTTTCTGATGCCTTGGCCCTGCCTGCAGTTGAATCAGCTGTCGCCAGGCGATGGAAGGCTTGGAAGAGTGACAGGGAGGGCGCACTGAGAGCGGTCCCTGAGGGAAAGGTCTTTTCAGTGAGAAAATCAGAGAATTTGCAGAGAAAAAGTCTCCCATTTTTTTACTGTCATTTCCTGGAATTTTCTATTCCCGTGACAGAACCGAGTCCCGGGGACCAACCTGGGATCGGCGCGCCTCAGGCCAGCGAACGTGTGGGCCTCACACTGCACTTCTAAGCATTTTCCCTTTCTTGGAAAACGGGAGAAGGCTGCCGGCCAGCCCCCCTGGGGTTCTCTCTCTCTTCCTCTCTCTCTCTCTCTTTTCTTCTTCTTCTTCCGCACCCCCCGCCGCCCCCATCACACAATGTGAAATGCAATCCGACTTCCACAATTGCTGCTTTAATGGCACTGAGGTTATATAGGCTTATGATAATTTTTTAAAATGCCAATTTATCATTCGGAACAAAGGGCCGTTTCTGAAGGCAATAAAAGTGCAAGACACAATTCCATCCAGAAGAACGCCTCCTTTCACTATGCCAGCGGAGTTTGGTTTTGGAATGACATTTAATAAACGTCAACCGTCCTGGGTTAGTATCATGCATCTGGCATGCCCGGTAGACCAGCTAATTCTGCAACATATCTTTTGCCAGTAGATGTTGGACCACTTCCCTAGGAAACCACAAGGGCATGATTGTGCTTTCTTAAGTGTTCAAACAGGATCTGTTCTCTAGAAAGACAAAACAGCTATTTCAGCTCAAGCGGCATTTGTTGAGCTTGTCATCTGCTTAATACCGGGCTGGTCTTGCAGAAAATCCGGGAGGAAAAGGCATGGTTTGTGTTCGAGGACACAGAGGTTCTAGCAAAGGCTAAAACACACGACTGAGAAAAATGCAAAATCAGTCGTAATAAAGTGACTGTAATTACACGATATGAAGTCTGTCGCTGACCTGACTGCAATCCCGGGAAGGCAAAGGGACAGAAAGCGGGAAGGACGCCAGCTCCGGGCACTAAGGGCCCTCCCTGCGCCGGGGCACTCACTGCAGGTGAAAGAGGTGCAGTGGCAGAAAGGCCAGTGGCCTTTTGTGTTTTAGGCAGGAATTTTCCTTTTTCGAAGGAGATAAACTTTCCCTTGTGTTTTCTGCTTCTCACACATATTTTAAGCAGATAAAAACCATGAATGCTTTCTGTTTGTAATTCAAAAGAGAGACCGTTAGTGTATCCACGTCACTGAAAGTGCTTCCAGACCTCTCTTTCTAGGTCACCCGCAGTGGGGTTTATTGTCGGCCGTAAATCCCTCCAGTGAGTCCTGGGTGCGGCATCTCACCGCGTCCCGCACTGTCTCCAGGTGTCTCACCTGCCCTGTCTCCCCAGTGAGAAGGGGGGTGTACGCATATACGTGTGCATGTGTGTATACATGTGCGTGTCTACATAAATGTATATCTGTATCACACACATTATCTACTATCTATACACATTTGCCTATGTCTACATGAGATCTGAGCTTGGGACCTTGACGTAAAGTGCAAAATGTATAAAATACTGTTTAATTTACTGGCGGACAAATCAATTTGCTATTTAGTTTATTGTTGGTTAGTTTAAATATAAACTGAAAAATAATTACTTTAAAATGATTATTGCTCATCCAAACATAAGCTAGCGAGAACATCGCAGACTCTCAACTAGACCATCAACTACTTTAGGGGAGCTTGACATGAAAACAGAAACTCTGGTTTCTGTCCTCATCCATCTCCCCCACTGCCCCTTGGACGCTAAGCCCATGAAATGGCATGTCAGAGACTCGGGTGTCTCTACACCTGCCCCTTTGCTATATCCTGAGATGACACCTACCTGGTCGCTTGATCCCCCAAAGACCCAATGAAGATGGCGAAGGCGTTCACTTGAGGGTTGTGTGTCAGGATTTGGGCAAACTCGGCAGGATGTATTCCATATCGCGACAGGTTCGCGTCGCTCAGGACGATGACGAAGTACTCATCGGCTTCTTCTTTGACTATGTCCTGGATGGCGTGCTGTGTTCCATCTAACGTGTGGTCCCCACTCATGCAGAACTGAGCGTGGGCGTGCATTGTCTAGGGTTAAGAGAGGACGCACAGATGCCATGGGTGAGAAACTCCTTTTTTTTTTTTTTACCAACGTGATGATTAGGTTCGCGTCTCAGGACGATGACGAAGTACTCATCGGCTTCTTCTTTGACTATGTCCTGGATGGCGTGCTGTGTTCCATCTAACGTGTGGTCCCCACTCATGCAGAACTGAGCGTGGGCGTGCATTGTCTAGGGTTAAGAGGGGACGCACAGATGCCAGGGGTAAAAAACTCTTTTTTTTTTTTTTACCAACGTGATGATTTCTCTATTGACCATGAGAATGCACAAGGACCAATTATTACACATGGATAAGAGGTGTCTGAGTGAGTTCTATTTAACTGGCACCTTAGAGTGTCGATAGTACACGGTCATTTTTGTACGTGGTTAAGACTTTTGTAAGAAACAGGAAATGTCCCCAAACTATCCCCGTCGGCGCTTACTTTTAAAACTCAAGCAGCCATTTAAAGTGAGAAAATGTAAGAAAATATAAAACCTGGTATCCAACCAGAGGACAAAGATGACACAGGATAAAAATAAGGAATGAGTTGAGTTTCCAATAAACAAAGTTATAATACCAAACACTGTCCTTCCATCGTTAGTAATGAATTTACATTAAAATTATGGTGTTTCTATTGTAGATCTAAGTGTGTGAAACTGAATTTATCATTAAAAATATACTAAGAAATACATAAAATCGGGGTTAGAGAGTTAGACATTTCTACTGAAATATCTAGGGGCTAGGAAGAGTTGTATAGGATATCGGAAGGGACCAGGGTCGTAGAACTCCGACAAGACTGAGCACCCTAAAAATATGCAGGGAACAAAGTTTACATTTTGTATGGCGGAGAATAGGATTTGAAGCACCATGAGTATTTTCTCACAGTTTAATGCTTACAAGTGTGTGAAACAGGAAGTGTTTTCCTTTCCTACGTCTGCTGCTACTCCAGTGACTCTCTCTAGTAACCAGAAGACACTCAGCCTGATCTGGTGGAAGTTTTCACGACATAGAGGTAATTGAACGTGCTTACCTTCAGAACTTCTAGTCTCTGCTTATTGTCCTTGGGAATTCTGTTAATTGGAACTAGATCAATATTGTAGTCATCTCCAGAGTGTCCAACGATGTCATACTACAGGCAAGAGAATCAGAGAGTTAGGAGCCTCTGTCCACTATAGAATTGTCATTGGACCTACAAGCCTCCAACTCCTTGGTCTGTTATTGTCCAGAACTGCTCAGCACCTGGCCACGGACAAGGGCAGAGAGGCGGGCATGTGCACAGACAAAGGCAAACCAGCCCCAGGCTCCTTCGCCTCTGCTCCATCCTCTTGGGCGATCTCTACAGTCCAGCAGGAGGCAGAAAACGTGTGAGGGCTTGAAGGGCCACCAAGAATTCCATTCGTAACGTTAAGGGGGGAGTTAAAAGAATTACACACTCACACACTCACACACACACTCACGCACACACTAACTCACACACACACACACACTCACACGCACTCTCACATACTCACTCTCACACACACTCAAACACACACTAACACACACACTCACACACACACTAACACACACACACACACATACACACTCACACACAGACATGCACACACACGCTCTCACACACGCACTCTCACACACACATACACACACTCACATGCACACATGCATGCACACACGCTCACACATGCACACACACATACACACGCACGCACACACACGTTCACACACACTCTCACACACACATACACATACTCATACACGCACACACATGCATGCACACACTCACACACACTCGCGCATATAATATCTGATAAAACAGC